AAGTCAAGTGCACCCAAGAGTGGCCGGCTGGCAGGGTAGGTGGCTAACTGACTGTGCTACTTTGCAAAGAGTGATCAGGGTGGGCATCACCGAGAAGGTGCCATCTACGGGGCGGACTTACAAACGGAAGTCAGCTGTGGAGAGGGGAGAGTTGGGGGGGGAGGAGTGTGCTGTGGGTGTGTTGCAGCAGGAGGTGGGAGAGGACTGTGGGCTGAAGCAGAGTAAGGGGGCGTGTTGAGCCGGTGACGTTGCTGAGCCTAAGGGAGCCAAGTCACGTAGGGTCTTGAGGTCTGCAGAAAGACTCTGCATCTTGCCAATAACGAAATGAACCACAGAACCACCCTTTCCAGAGGCAAGTACACACATATGGCTCATCTTTGGGCAAGATTAGCCTTTCTGTTCATGTGCCTGCTTGCAGAAGCCCCTGGAGGAACATGTGAGTGAATGAATCAGAGGAGACACTTCTCTCCCAATTGAGAATCCGTCCACAGGTTCCCCAGGGGAGTCGCTTAGGTTGAGGTGATACTGGCAGGAGATTCTGGATTGGAGCAAGGAGCCCTCCTGCTCTTGCCAGAATACTTTCCTTTTCCCTGGTGGCCAGGGGTTTCCAGGAGGCAGGAGCATAATCAGAGTGTGTATCACCGCCCCGCCCCCCCCCAGCAGAATGGAACCCGATCTTCTTCATGTTTTCCGCTGCTGCTGTGTGGTTTAGGAATCTGTTCACAGGCAGAATGTTCTCAGGTTTCAATGCAGGGCTCCTAAAAAAGACAGGTTCAGGAAAACAGCACGTTTGGGAATTGGGAGTATTTGCTAGGATGTTGAGACTAACCCTAATTCTCCTCTTGGGTAGAAAGCCCTGCTGGGATCATGGTGCCTACTGGGATAGCTTTTGTTTCTAAATGTGATTTGGAAGATTTTTTTTTTTTTTTTTTTTGGTACCAGGGATTGCACCCAGGGGTGCTTAACCACTGAGCCACATCCCCAGCCCTTTAATATTTTATTTAGAGACAGGGCTTGGTGACTTGCTCAGGGCCTCCATGAGTTGCTGAGGCTGCCCTTGAACTTGGTGATCCTCCTGCCTCGGCCTCTCGAGCTGCTGGGATTACAGGCGTGCACCACCCTGCCTGGCTTTCTTCCTTCCTTACTAGAGTTCATCAGCTGGGACTGTTCATCGTCTTAGCATGACACCCGCCTCCTCTCCACCTCCAGATCAGGGAGCCTTTGGAAGTGACTAGGTGGTTGCAAATCAGCTCTTAGGATTTATAGATCAGAAATAAGCAGCAAGAAAGCAGGACTGGAGGACCTAACTCCTCTTGCCCTGACAATTACCCAGTGAATAATGAATTTAAAAAAAAAAAAATAGGAATCACTGGTGCCATGGTGCACACCTGTAATCCTAGGGGTTAGAGAGGCTCAGTCAGGAAGATCTCGAGTTCACAGCCAGCCTCCGAACTCAGTGAGACCCTGTCTGTAAACAAAATGTAAGAAAGGGCTGCACATGTGGCTCAGTGGGTTAAGCACCCATGGGTTCAAGAATCCTGGTACCAAAAAACCAAAAATATAGAAATTACTAGAAAATATACCATTTTGGTAAAATACAGTCAGCCCTCTGTGTAGGTTCCATATTTCCAGGTTCAACTAGCCCTGGATTTAAAATGTCGCCAGGCCTACACTGTTTGTATCTGTATGGAAAATGCATGCCCTTTTTTCTTGCCATTATTTTCTACATAACACAACAAGACAATTACTTACAGAGCATTTACAATTATAAATAATGTAGGGGGTAGACGAGCACCGGTTATGGTTTAGTCAGCTTTTTCACTGCTGTGACAAAAAGACCCAAACAGAACAATTGAAGGGAAGGAAAAGTTTATTTCAGGACTCACTGTTTCCTAGATCTCAGTCCACAGACAGCAGGCTCCA